AGGGGCAATACCATTAAACTACATTTTTATATGCATTTTTTTCGGCAAATCAAAATTTAAAAAATTCGTAACTAAGCCAAAAATGCATTAATTTCAATTCGGAAAGCGGTCTTATGTTAATTTTTAGCAGGTTAATAAAACTGCCTAAGATTTATAGGGTCGGAAATGACTCCTTCACTTTCTTTTAAGCTTCTGACTGAAGGGGCAATACCATTTTTTCATCGATTTTAAGTACATTTTTATATGAAATTTTTTCGGCAAATCAAAATTTAAAAAAATCGTAACTAAGCCAAAAATGCATTAATTTCAATTCGAAAAGCGGTCTTCTGTTAATTTTTAGCAGGTTAATAAAACTGCCTAAGATTTATAAGGTCGGAAATGACTCCTTCACTTTCTTTTAAGCTTCTGACTGAAGGGGCAATACCATTTTTTCATCGATTTTAATTACATTTTTATATGAAAATTTTTCGGCAAATCAAAATTTAAAAAATTCATAACTTAGCCAAAAATGCATTAATTTCAATTCGGAAAGCGTTTGTATGTTAATTTTTAGCAGGCTAATAAAACTGCATACTCCATTTAAAAAGTGAATTTTTGTCCGATTTTCGCAAATTTTCATGATGTAACCCCTTTCCTTTTTTTCCGAAAATGGGAAATTTCTGAAAAAAATTTTTTCGTCCGAATATAGCTAGAAAGATTCCCCTGTTGATGCTGATCAAGAATATATATGATTTACAGGGTCGGAAATGACTCCTTCACTTTCTTTTAAGCTTCTGACTGAAGGGGCAATACCATTTTTTCATCGATTTTAAGTACATTTTTATATGAAATTTTTTCGGCAAATCAAAATTTAAAAAATTTGTAACTAAGCCAAAAATGCATTAATTTCAATTCGGAAAGCGGTCTTATGTTAATTTTTAGCAGGTCAATAAAACTGCCTAAGATTTATAGGGTCGGAAATGACTCCTTCACTTTCTTTTAAGCTTCTGACTGAAGGGGCAATACCATTTTTTCATCGATTTTAAGTACATTTTTATATGAATTTTTGTCGGCAAATCAAAATGTAAAATAATCGTAACTAAGCCAAAAATGCATTAGTTTCAATTCGGAAAGCGGTCTTATGTTAATTTTTAGCAGGTTAATAAAACTGCCTAAGATTTATAGGGTCGGAAATGACTCCTTCACTTTCTTTTAAGCTTCTGACTGAAGGGGCAATACCATTAAACTACATTTTTATATGCATTTTTTTCGGCAAATCAAAATTTAAAAAATTCGTAACTAAGCCAAAAATGCATTAATTTCAATTCGGAAAGCGGTCTTATGTTAATTTTTAGCAGGTTAATAAAACTGCCTAAGATTTATAGGGTCGGAAATGACTCCTTCACTTTCTTTTAAGCTTCTGACTGAAGGGGCAATACCATTTTTTCATCGATTTTAAGTACATTTTTATATGAAATTTTTTCGGCAAATCAAAATTTAAAAAAATCGTAACTAAGCCAAAAATGCATTAATTTCAATTCGAAAAGCGGTCTTCTGTTAATTTTTAGCAGGTTAATAAAACTGCCTAAGATTTATAAGGTCGGAAATGACTCCTTCACTTTCTTTTAAGCTTCTGACTGAAGGGGCAATACCATTTTTTCATCGATTTTAATTACATTTTTATATGAAAATTTTTCGGCAAATCAAAATTTAAAAAATTCATAACTTAGCCAAAAATGCATTAATTTCAATTCGGAAAGCGTTTGTATGTTAATTTTTAGCAGGCTAATAAAACTGCATACTCCATTTAAAAAGTGAATTTTTGTCCGATTTTCGCAAATTTTCATGATGTAACCCCTTTCCTTTTTTTCCGAAAATGGGAAATTTCTGAAAAAAATTTTTTCGTCCGAATATAGCTAGAAAGATTCCCCTGTTGATGCTGATCAAGAATATATATGATTTACAGGGTCGGAAATGACTCCTTCACTTTCTTTTAAGCTTCTGACTGAAGGGGCAATACCATTTTTTCATCGATTTTAAGTACATTTTTATATGAAATTTTTTCGGCAAATCAAAATTTAAAAAATTTGTAACTAAGCCAAAAATGCATTAATTTCAATTCGGAAAGCGGTCTTATGTTAATTTTTAGCAGGTCAATAAAACTGCCTAAGATTTATAGGGTCGGAAATGACTCCTTCACTTTCTTTTAAGCTTCTGACTGAAGGGGCAATACCATTTTTTCATCGATTTTAAGTACATTTTTATATGAAATTTTTTCGGCAAATCAAAATTTAAAAAAATCGTAACTAAGCCAAAAATGCATTAATTTCAATTCGAAAAGCGGTCTTATGTTAATTTTTAGCAGGTTAATAAAACTGGCTAAGATTTATAGGGTCGGAAATGACTCCTTCACTTTCTTTTAAGCTTCTGACTGAAGGGGCAATACCATTTTTTCATCGATTTTAAGTACATTTTTATATGAAAATTTTTCGGCAAATCAAAATTTAAAAAATTCATAACTTAGCCAAAAATGCATTAATTTCAATTCGGAAAGCGTTTGTATGTTAATTTTTAGCAGGCTAATAAAACTGCATACTCCATTTAAAAAGTGAATTTTTGTCCGATTTTCGCAAATTTTCATGATGTAACCCCTTTCCTTTTTTTCCGAAAATGGGAAATTTCTGAAAAAAAATTTTTTCGTCCGAATATAGCTAGAAAGATTCCCCTGTTGATGCTGATCAAGAATATATATGATTTACAGGGTCGGAAATGACTCCTTCACTTTCTTTTAAGCTTCTGACTGAAGGGGCAATACCATTTTTTCATCGATTTTAAGTACATTTTTATATGAATTTTTGTCGGCAAATCAAAATTTAAAAAATTCATAACTTAGCCAAAAATGCATTAATTTCAATTCGGAAAGCGTTTGTATGTTAATTTTTAGCAGGTTAATAAAACTGCATACTCCATTTAAAAAGTGAATTTTTGTCCGATTTTCGCAAATTTTCATGATGTAACCCCTTTCCTTTTTTTCCGAAAATGGGAAATTTCTGGAAAAAAATTTTTTCGTCCGAATATAGCTAGAAAGATTCCCCTGTTGATGCTGATCAAGAATATATATGGTTTACAGGGTCGGAAATGACTCCTTCACTTTCTTTTAAGCTTCTGACTGAAGGGGCAATACCATTTTTTCATCGATTTTAAGTACATTTTTATATGAATTTTTGTCGGCAAATCAAAATGTAAAATAATCGTAACTAAGCCAAAAATGCATTAGTTTCAATTCGGAAAGCGGTCTTATGTTAATTTTTAGCAGGTTAATAAAACTGCCTAAGATTTATAGGGTCGGAAATGACTCCTTCACTTTCTTTTAAGCTTCTGACTGAAGGGGCAATACCATTAAACTACATTTTTATATGCATTTTTTTCGGCAAATCAAAATTTAAAAAATTCGTAACTAAGCCAAAAATGCATTAATTTCAATTCGGAAAGCGGTCTTATGTTAATTTTTAGCAGGTTAATAAAACTGCCTAAGATTTATAGGGTCGGAAATGACTCCTTCACTTTCTTTTAAGCTTCTGACTGAAGGGGCAATACCATTTTTTCATCGATTTTAATTACATTTTTATATGAAAATTTTTCGGCAAATCAAAATTTAAAAAATTCATAACTTAGCCAAAAATGCATTAATTTCAATTCGGAAAGCGTTTGTATGTTAATTTTTAGCAGGCTAATAAAACTGCATACTCCATTTAAAAAGTGAATTTTTGTCCGATTTTCGCAAATTTTCCTTTTTTTCCGAAAATGGGAAATTTCTGAAAAAAAATTTTTTCGTCCGAATATAGCTAGAAAGATTCCCCTGTTGATGCTGATCAAGAATATATATGATTTACAGGGTCGGAAATGACTCCTTCACTTTCTTTTAAGCTTCTGACTGAAGGGGCAATACCATTTTTTCATCGATTTTAAGTACATTTTTATATGAAATTTTTTCGGCAAATCAAAATTTAAAAAATTTGTAACTAAGCCAAAAATGCATTAATTTCAATTCGGAAAGCGGTCTTATGTTAATTTTTAGCAGGTTAATAAAACTGCCTAAGATTTATAGGGTCGGAAATGACTCCTTCACTTTCTTTTAAGCTTCTGACTGAAGGGGCAATACCATTTTTTCATCGATTTTAAGTACATTTTTATATGAATTTTTGTTAATAAAACTGCATGCTCCATTTCAAAAGTGAATTTTTTTTTTAATTTCAATTCGGAAAGCGGTCTTATGTTAATTTTTAGCAGGTTAATAAAACTGCCTAAGATTTATAGGGTCGGAAATGACTCCTTCACTTTCTTTTAAGCTTCTAACTAAAGGGGCAATACCATTTTTTCATCGATTTTAATTACATTTTTATATGAAAATTTTTCGGCAAATCAAAATTTAAAAAATTCATAACTTAGCCAAAATGCATTAATTTCAATTCGGAAAGCGTTTGTATGTTAATTTTTAGCAGGCTAATAAAACTGCATACTCCATTTAAAAAGTGAATTTTTGTCCGATTTTCGCAAATTTTCATGATGTAACCCCTTTCCTTTTTTTCCGAAAATGGGAAATTTCTGAAAAAAAATTTTTTCGTCCGAATATAGCCAGAAAGATTCCCCAGTTGATGCTGATCAAGAATATATATGCTTTGTAGGGTCGCAAATGACTCCTTCACTGTTTTGCAAGCTTCTGACTAATACCCTGCAAGTGTGTAATTTTGTGTGGATGCGCTAAATGTGAGAGGTGCTTGTATATTTGTAACTAATACCTGAAAGATACGGCATACTCAAGACAGACTCCTTTCCCTCTGTTCCTTAATAATTTAAAGACCACTTACCTTGTTTTACATGGTGCCAAAACCCCATTTCCACCCATAAATAAAAGGCATTTCGGGTTTCCATTTCTCGAATTCTTTATTTCATTTTGATTTTAATTTAATCATAAGTTTTTTGCACAAAACATTAATGTCTATAAAAAATACGTTAGGTAGTTGTGATTTTTCATTCCTTCTTCCCGTTTTTATTTTTCTGCATGTATTTGAACCAAAAAACTTATATTAATTCGATAACTGTGAATTTGTAGTGAGTGCTCTGTGACTGTGAATTGTGGGTGTAAGTTGTGAGATTATAATGCCAGCGTTAAATGGGATGTTAATACTTTAGCATTAAACGTAAGCTACAGTGAGTATATTTTATATTATTGGTATAAAATCTATGCGAGTTTCGACTTAAGGTTGTGTGTGAATGTGTGTGTTGTTTTAAGCGAATGTGTGTGAGAATGAGTGAGTTGATGATGTGAGTGTTAAGTTAACGTTAAAGATTACATAAATTATACATATTAAAAATATGTTTGTGGTGCGCCTTCTGCTTTTTCCCCTTTCAAATTATCCCATGGCTTGTTCATCTCTTTGCGAATGTTTCGAGTTCGGTTCGTTTTCTCCTTTCCTATCTGTTGTTTTTTCATTTTCTTTGAAAATAATATCACCTTGAGAGTTGAGACTTCGAGTTGAAGGTTCCGATCCTATCTATAGGATATATTTAAGTAGCTAACAGCCTTTATCTCCCTTGATTCCTGGCTGCGGATTGTTGTTGGCATTGTTATTGTTGCTGTTGCTGTTACTGGGTACGATTTTCTCTTTGTGACGTACGGGAAGCAGCTTGATCACATGATTCCTTTGGGCCACCTCCGATTTACTGTATTCGTCAACGAACTGTAAGGGGAAATAAAGATTAAATATAATTCAATTGGTATAATTCCTAAAAATAAAATACATCTATGACATAGGTACTAAAGAAGCTACAAATTGTTATTCAACGTCGTATTATCTGTAAATATGTTAGAAAACATTTAAAAGCTACTCAAACTCACCGCCATATCGAAATCCTTGGAGATGAGCTCCCTGGCCGCCGCATTGCCAAAGCACATGGTGACCAAAAACGGATAAATCACTGGATTAAACTGTGTCGGCAGCTTGCCCAGATTCTTGAAGATCACCACAAATGGCTCCGAGATGAGCAGATCCTGATGCCGTCGATTATTCACACAGAAGAAGGCCAGCGAGGCAATCAAATCGATGAGCATCGTGGTGTTGTCATTCTTCTTCGTCCAGGGGGCATTCGTGACACTACAGTTCAGGATGAGGATCATCACGTCCAGCAGCTTCAGAGACAGAGGGCCCTCGACGGTCAAAGCTTCCTGATAGAATCAAATAAAGATAAAAATAAAGCAAAGCACATTTAATTGGCAACACACAGAATACACACAGCACAATGGGCAGAATAAACCGAAATCACTGAGCAAATGTTTTAATTAAGTCAAAGCAAATATCGAAAGAGTGGCACTTGTTTAGGGCAGGAAATGAAGGGCCAGGCACATCCTGTGGCCAGGATTGTTTATATTGCTGCCTCTCTCTATATATATATATATGTTATATATATATTTCTGTGCTATTTGCATAAGGGACGAGTGCCGACAAGAGAGCGGCTTCTAATTTGTTTGTCCTGGCAGGCCGAAACTCGATTCAACAACTCAACCGGCCAACTGAAACTGGCAACTTGTTCGAGGACGACGAGGATGAGGACGAGCACCAGGACGTGGACGTGGACGAGTACGAGCACTAAGCAAATATTTAGCCAAACAATTGACATGCCTGGCTGGCTAGAACAACGCCTGCCCCCGCATCGACCCGCCGCGGCAGGATATGAGCGAGCGGCAAGGATTTGTGAGGCGGAAAAAAAAGCCCGAATCCGGCTTTGGGTTAAACTTGAAAATTTCATTTTACAAAGTCAATATTTACGCAAAAACAAGGCAGGCAACCAGGCTGCCTGGCTGGCTGGCAAGGAAGCGCGCCTCGAAATTGAGTTTGCTGATTAAAACCGAATCAAATTATTTGCCAAAACGACGCAGCAGCAAAGTTGATGAGCTGAGCCCTCACCACACCACACGAAACGAAACGAAACGAAACCCTTATCTATTTTGTGGTAATTTAAAACAAATAGCTCTAATCCCAGTGCCATTTCGGTGGGCAGAGGGATGGAGCGACGTAGAGCTGTGGATGGAAGCTCTGGCAAAGTTTGTCTATCAAATTAGTTTGTCAAGTGCGTAGAGAAAGAGCCTTGCCTGCCTCTGCCCAGCCTCCGGCCTGCTGCATCGACTAAATATTGACACGTGCAACAGCAGACGACGCACACTCTCGAGTACTCGAATACTCGAATACTCAAATCCTCGGAATACACACAGGAAATGAAATCCTGCGCCAGCCGACACACTGCCAAAAACTGTGGCCAATAAGCAGAGCTTAAAGTTGGCTAATTAGCATAGCAAAAAGAGCAGAAAATTATATTCTTCAACCTTAAAAAGTATTCTGAAACATTTAAAGAAAAATTAAAATGCATTGAAACAGTAAAAAATGCAATTGGTGTTTTTCGAACTAAGTTTTTATACCGTTGCAGTATTATAATTTTAGTCAGAAGCTTAAAAGAAAGTGAAGGAGTCATTTCCGACCCTATAAATAAATCATATGTATTTTAGATCAGGATGAACTATCTCCGAAAGAAAAATTCCATATTTTCCAATTTTTTTTTCCAAATAAGGAAAGAGGTTAAAATTGTCGAAATGTTGATTTTTTTAGATTTTAAACTGAGTATGCAGAATTGGTAACCTCATAAAAACTAACAGAGGAAAGCATTCCGAATTTAAATTTATGGATTTTTGGCTTAGTTATGAACAATTTCCTGTTCGAATAATACAATTTCAAAGGCCTATGAATCTGCATCCCAAGCTACACATCTTGTCTTGTTTAAGTATTTTGTAATACTTTAAAAGTTGTTAAAATTAGACATTTATGTTAGTGCATTCAAATTAAGATTTCTACGTATTTGAAAGGCAACTCCTCTAGATCAAGTCTCAGTTAGATTACCGATGTGCTCCTGCTGCTGCACTTGGATATTCCGTTTCATTTGCGCGGTTTTTCGACTGTGCCAGGAGTGACCCTCAACCCACACCCAAAGCCAAACCCCAGACCCAGACCCATCCACATCCACATCCTCCACTCAGCTCATTCGTTTCGTTACCGAGTTGCCATAAATATTTGAGGCCGCGTCGAAGACGAGAGACAGCGCTGACATTTGGCCCCAAGTAAAGTGTCAAAATATTTGCGTATGTGCCGCCGCCGCCACTGCCACCCAGCTCTTCCATTTGATCCTGCTCCTCTCCTGCTCCTGCTCCTGCTCCTGGCCCTCCCACCTCATCTCCTCTGGTTTGCTCCTCTAAATTTTCGCAACATATAGAAATGTCATCGCGGTTCAATGGCGTTTGCCACCATCGTGTCGTGTTTGTCATTTGTTGTCTGTTAAGCAAATGTCACTCTATGCTCTATGCATTTTCCTCATCCTCCCCCGCCCCTTCATTTCCACCTGGCCTGTCCTCGGAAAATGCTGCTCGTGGTGGTGGCGGCTGTCATGACATTTGGCAATATGCAAATATCGCTTGCCGCCCAGCAATTGCCAAAGTTTTAAACGTCTCTGCGTTGAAACTTTTCTTCTGGTGGTTTTCCCCTCTTTTCCTCTCTCCTGATATTTCCTACCCTTTGTTGTTGCCGATTTTCTTCAATTTTGCCCAGCGATTTCACGTTCGACAAAGTTTAGAAGAGCTAAGCAAAGAAAATGCCAAAAAACGCTCACACACAGAATGAAAATGAAAATAAAAACAGAGTAAAGGAAAATTTCTAATGAAATTTTCGATACTTGAACAGGAAAAACCCCAAAGACGGACACACAGAGCAAGCACGGTGGCTGGAAAATTGCTGGAACATAGGAAAATGGATTTATATATCTTTTTTGCCTTAATATTATGCCAAAACTTCATATTTTTTGAATATTTTGTAGGGTTTTGGAACTTAAGAGAAGTTTCAAAGATTTTAGAAAATTTAAAGATAGAAAATATTAATATACAAATACTGTATCAATAAATAACGCTTACTTAACTTTGCTACATTAATGTTTACTATATTTTAGATATATTTACATTTAAGATATAAATTTAGGTATTGAATGTGTATTTTTCTAGCAATTTCGTAACCACTGTGCCTGCGTATTGGGTTTAAGGCCGAAAACTCTGACTCTTTGATTTGTTTAAACGGCAACGCACTACGTTCGAGGTTCGAGGTTCGAGGTTTGTCGCCTGGAGTTTACCTTTGCCAACTCCTCTCGGTAATGTAAACTCACCTGAAAAGTGTTCACATCCAGCGAGGCCAGGGACACGTAGAGATTAAAAGTCGATGCCGCCAAGGCGGTCGTGCGCGGTGGAATGCATTCACCTGCAAAACAGTAAGCAAGATGGGAAAAATAAGAGTCGGGCAAAGATGAGACGGAAAAACTAAAGGGGATAGAAGCGACAGCGGATATTCCCTCATAAAACAACGTTGGAGAAAAAATCAAAACTAATTTCCGCCTTTGGCAGGAGATCACGTTGCTGTTCCGATAAAGTGCATCCGAAATCTAATTAGCACCTCTCCGGGCCCGAGGGAGCTACTGTTTATGGCAGAGACTACTCACCAGTGGGCACCACGCTGGCACTGAGCATGGAAACGGTTCCAAAGAGGTCCGTGGTCCTGGCCGCGCTCAGCAAACGTGTCGGATCCGCAGGACCTTTCCGAAAAGGGAAATAAAGAAAGGTACAAGAATTAGCAACGTGGCTCTAGGATTATTTACCGTCCAGAAGCAGGTGTTACTTTTGGCAAGAGAAGAGATGACTCACCTGGCTGGCAGACATCAAGGAAGCGGGAGAGGAAGCCCAAGGTGGTCAGCAGGCCAAGCATCACGCTCTGGTTGTCTTCAATGGACTCGCGAACCTTCTGGTTGCGACGGGATAGGATCTCGATGAGGCCAGTGACCACAGCGTAGCTGGAAAGAAAGGGAAACCCTTTAAATCATGTTACATGTAATATAATTTAACTAAGAACTACGATAGTTATCTCCCTCCTCTAGTCAAACCTCCTCTGACAACATTTATTGGCTTAATCATACTCAATGTCAGTTAATTATTAAATATATACCCCTGGAAAGCAAACATATATATCTTATTGAATTGCAATTGCAATTGAAATCCTAATCTCCTTGTTTACTGAAGGATCCGGAACAATCCCTTCTCGCTGGAACAATTGTAATGCCCTTGAGCGATATCTTCCGCCGTTCCCTCCCTTTCCCTTTTCCTTTTCACGATTCAACCTCAATCATTTGGCCATTTTCTTGTTGTTTGCTACGTGGTTTCCCGTGTCCATATGTTGCCAGTTTGCCAGTTCTGGTTGCCCTGGTTCAACCCCTGCTCCCCAGGTGCCTTCGTATCCTGGCGAGGACATTCCGCACTTGTTAATCGCCGGGAGCAGCGGTCAAAGGGAAACCAAACCGAACCGAACCGAAAGGGGTTACAACAATCACGACTGGCCACTGACAATAGAACCTGGCCATGTGTCACATCAACCTCATCATCATTCGAAAGCGATTTAAATGCATATACTCCTTCCCCCGCTCTAGGAACAAGTCATCGTCCTGGAACCCTGCAAGAATCCCTCCTCCTTCCGCTACCCATCATCATCATCCCATGCTAAATGACATTTCATTTGCTCTCGCGTGGCAAGGTGTTTCATTTCACATATCAGGCAGCGGGGACTAGTGTCCTGTTTAACCTCCTAACTGAGCATTAACGTGTTCTGGTCCTTGTGTCGTGTCCTTGCTCCTGCTCCTGCCCGTTGTCATTGTCAGCGCAAATCTGTTTTGATTTTAATCCCAGCTTATGCGCAGCCCGAAATGCCTGAAATGCATGCCATCGGTCCATCGACAGGACGCCTCTACGGTCACCTCCTCCTTCCTGTTGTCCTTGTTGGTGTCCCTTCATCTGTATTTGTTGCTCAGCGAACTGTACTTGTTCCTTGTTGTCAGTTTTATACACTTGGATAATTATTTTGTAATGAGGTTTTGAGATGTAAATATTTTAATATTTATATCTTTTGCAGGGTATTATAATTTAAGTCAGAAGTCTAAAACTTAATGAAGAACTCATTTCCGACCCTTTAAATCATATATGTTCTTGATCAGCATTAACAAAACATTAAATTAACAAAAATTTAATTTTTTCAAAGTTAAAATTAAAATTGTCAAAAATAGGTAAAAATTTCTATAATTTTAAATTGAGTATGCAGATTTGTTAACCTAATAGCATAGGACTGCTTTCCGAATTAAAATTAATGCATTTTTGGCTCAGTTTTGAGTTTATTAAAATTTAAATTTGTCACAAAAATGGTCATATAAAACTATCCATAAATATTGAATCAAAATATGAGAATATTTTAAATCCTATACTGCAAATTATAAGGCTAAACAACAACGGTTTCCCAAAGTTTGTTTTCTTTCTTGGTTAGATATGATATTGATATTTCTTTCAAGGTATTATATTTCAATCTATCCCCATAATTTCTTCCAATTTCTAAAGGCTCATAAACAGTGTTTTTTTCGAGTGCACTCAAATCCCATGAAGCTGCTTCTGTTTTTTTTGCCGCTGATTATGCGGCTTAAGTGCCGAAATCAATGCACACAAATGCCCAAAAATTACAAGCGAACGTGAAAAGGACTACTTTTCAATGGAGAGAGTATAGAAGGTGCTACTTTGAACCGAAAAGAAAAGAAATAGAAAAATAAGGACACTTTTCCGAACCAAGGGGTTGACAGATTTTTATTCCTTCTTCGGCAATTGCAACTACTATTTTGTTTATTAAACAAGAGAGACAGGACTCAGCTGAGAGCCTGGGTTAAGTAGCGTGTGCATTTGACACTTGTTAAAATATTTGCGCCTGTCCCACACACACACTCACACACACATTAACACTCGACGAGGGAGAGGTCCTTGATGATTAAGGACGTCGACGACGACGACAGGGGGAATGTGAGCCTGGGCCGCGTATTTAGCGAACGTGTTTTCACAACTAACAAGGATGTTAATTTTTTTTCCAGCTGGGGATTCGCTCTTATTTTTATTTCGAGCTTTGCACCAAATGCCTTTTCACACCCGAAAGCGTGTCCTGTGTGCTATTGGTCCTGTCCTGTCCTGTCCCGTGCTGTCCTGACAGCGGTTAACCTCCCCCTCTCGAGTCCTTCCCTCCATTTTTCCTGTCGCATTTTATTTTTATTTTGTCGCCATCGTTGGCTGCTGCTGCTGCTGCTTCTGCTGCTGTTTATTTTACGGCACTGACGATTATGTCCTGTCCGGACTCCGAGGTCCTTTGGTTGCCTGGGAAAAGGGAAACCTCGGCCACATCCGATACGGCGCGACCCCCGTCGCCCGTTGGCCATTTTGTGTGTTTGGATTGATGCGACGACGCCCAACGAACTAAATACTCTCTTCTCCACCAAGCGGCCGCCAGGACACATGACAAACGATGACAGGACGAGCAGCAGGAGCAGGAGCAGGAGCAGCAACGGCTTGGGACTTGGGTAAAAGCATCCTTCATGCTGGCCCCTGCGTGCTAGCTTTGTGCTTGTTGGTTTAAGAAAATTATTAAGGATATTTTTGTGGTGCTGATGAGTTTGCCGAGTACTTTTTCGTCCTGCGGAAAGGAAGCGGGTAGGAAGCTGGGTCAGATTGACCAACCAAGGAGAGCAAACATCATGTGTGGGTCGTGTCCTCTCCCGTCCGCCTGTCTGTACTAAGTGTCCTGTGTGCAGGCACACACCCACACACACACACAAATAGCAGCAAAACAGGAAGCTCAAGTATGTTTACAGTTGACAACGCCAGAAACGCCATGGGGATATCATCCCAAGGATCAGGGATGTGTATTTGGATTTATTTTTAAAGGGAAACTAGTTAACTATAATTTATACTATATTTATGAGCAGTTTTGAGTATTTGTTTCTGGGAGTTTAACGTCCTTAGATTTATAAAATAAGGTTTAGGATTAGAATTTAGATACGATTTTTAAGGGAAACTGTTTTTCCCAGTGAGCTAGTAAAATAACTAAATATTAACAAGAAGGAAACAAATTTCGAGAACTATATATATAGCCTTACAGCTTGCAATTTAAATAAAGGATTCAATTTAAAGTAGATCAATATAAATATAATAAATAACTAAACCTAAAATAAGTAAATTTTTCATAAGTAAATTTTGTTCGCCAAATTAAATTATTAAAATCTCATAATTCAGCCAAAAGGCATTAATTTCAATTCGGAAAGCTTTCCTATGTCAGTTTTTGTTAGGCTAATAAATCTGCATACTCAGTTTAAAATCTAAAAAAATTAACATTTTTGACAATTTTAATGATGTAACCCCTTATAAAATTTTCAAAATTTTGAAAAAAAATACATTTTACCCGGACATAGCTAGATCGATTCGGTTTTTAATGCTGATCAAGAATATATATGAATTGTAGGGTCGGAAATGAATCCTTCACATTTTACAAGCTTCGGACTAGAATTATAATACCCTGTGCACGTTTATAAATATTAATTAATTTCGAGTGCTACAAATATCAATATATAGTTACTGAATCGAATTTTCCTATCAATATATTAGTTCCCCCAATTAATAGATACTTTTGTAGATCTCAGAAACTATTTCTAAGGCTCATAGGTTATATATTTATCACAAAGATTAAAACTTCACCAAACTAAAGGTTAGATCCTCAATCTCACGACTAAAATAATGCATATTTATATACCCAAATCCCTGATCTATTTCTAGACATTTCTCTTCACTCAACTTTGGCTATTTTTGTTAAGTATCCTAAGCTAACCACACAGTTCTTGAAATATCTGGAAGAGTGGGTGGTTTTTGGGACTCTTTGCTGGCAGAGGCACGTAGTCCTTGCTGCTTTGTTTGTCTGCCTCTCGGGTTGTGTGTGTCCTGTGTGTTGTGTGTGCTGTGGGTGTAGATGAACGCTTGAGTAATGGACGCTTTTATTTGCGAACAGGACTTCTTCTGCTGTCAAAAGGGGTCAAAATGGATTTTTCGGCTATATAAAAATTGGTAACGCTTGGCCCGTGTTTGCTTTTCGAGGCTGCCGGTCAAGAAATGTGCTTCTGTGGCCACTGTCATTGGCATATCAATCACTCTCTCTCTCAAACTCTTGATTTGTGCTGGAAAATCTGTATGCCATTCATTTATATTGTAAACATCGAAATATGAATGCCAACTGCAAACGCCTTTCGTTTATTGTGATAAATCACAGAACAACAGCAGCATCAGCAGCAGTAGAAATAATGAAAGGACATGGAGTGTGGGTTCTGTTTGATATTTTTAGTGTTTCGGCTAATTGAAATCAAAACATCAGGCAAAAACGGAGAATGGAGAAAATTTATTTGCACAACAATTTCTCTTTCTTTCTTGGCTGGGTAAAAATAAATTAGGAGAGAGAGGAGAGCAAAGACTTCCACGACTTGCACTTGAATCCTGTTTTCAAAATCTACTCATTGCATGCAATGTCACACACAATCCTCCGAGTCCTGTGAGTGTTCCTCCCTCTCCTGGTCTCTCTTAATATATCCTCTTGGTATTTGCTTACAAACATTTAGCAGCATTTTATGGACAAATGAATGAATGAATGAATGAGTGAGTGAGTGTGTCTGTGGATATATTCGAAAATCTTTTGCTAATCGCTTTTTGCATTTCGCACATTTTGAGCACATTTAATGCTGGACGCGTGCTCCTCATTAGCATATGAAAGAATTATATTGCCATTGTCGGTCGGCGACTGCACGTGGCGTCTTTTTTTGTTTTTTGGGAAATAAATGAGCAAAATTGGTGCTTAAAATGTTTATGTTATTTTGGTTGGCTTTGCATAGGAAAATTCTATTGTATTCCACTTTAAATCGTTGCCAAATGAATTAGGCAAATGAATTTTAAAGTCCAA